CATATGCACATATAATACTAAGCACTAAATATAATACTAAGTATCATATAAGGTTGTCAAATATCTCCCTTCCGCCTTTTTGTATTATAAACCAAGAGCAAAAAAGCGGAAGGGAGATATTTGACAACCTAATATTTAGTAACAATAGTAGTTACCATAATTAGTATGAAGTTATGGAGGTTATCATAATAATTGTTGTCAATTTCGACTAGTAATGCAAGTTCACAATGATTTTGGCGATTCATGTATTCAAAATAGCATATTTGAACAAAGGCATCTAAATATGCATACCTATGATGATGATGAGGATTGATTTTTTTATATAGGTAAAATGTATCCAATGTATAAAAGAAATATTGCGTTCGAAGAGGCTCTCTTGTAAAAAAAATTGTAAAAGAAACATTTGGTGGACAAAAGTGATCACAAAACATATGCACATCAAATTATCAGATATTTTAAAAATATGTTAATAAGTATAAATTTTGTTTACATTTATATGCGTTCTGTAACATTGTTTATCCGTTAGACTGCGACGCGGCGTTTACGCGCTTCTATATTTTGTCCCTACGCAACTGAAGCAGCGCGATTACTTTAAAAAAAAGTTCGAAAGTTCGTAAAATTTCAGGGATGGGGCGGCATTTTTGTCAGTGCCCCGGGGCGCCAAATTTCTAAATCCGGCCCTGAATATGTTAATATGTATAACTACATATTAGGGTCTACAAGTATTTTTTTATTAATCTGGATTGGTATAAGAGCTTGATTTCATTTCTGTAGGGTTGAATTAGATTTGTGTGGAAAGAAATTTTTATTATTTCCACTTTCTGAATATTTATGAGCGGGATACCATAATTACTTTCATATTAAATTATGCTTAAAGCGTAGAATATTGCTGTACTAGCATTTGTAAAATGTTGCGATCAAAACCAAGGTGGTTACACAAATTTTATTTTTCTATGATGAATTTAAACCTACAAAAATTAATATACTTATAGTTGACTACAATTTTTTTTTACTATAATAATTGTAATAATTGTCTTGTTTTCTTATTATAATGAAGTACTCACCCATATCTAACCTTTTCTACATTGAAGCAATAAAATTATATTAAAACTCAATTTGTTATAAGGAAGACCTTGTTTGATACGTTATCTTGAATGAGCTAACATATAAACGCAAATGATAAATTATAATTCATCTTGAATATTTTTTTCAAACTCTATTTAAAGATCCGATCCGAAACTCTATTTAAAGATCCGATCCGTAGCCTAATTCAATGATTGATTCAATTGCTGGAACTTCCCGTACCCTAAAGAAATATTCGATGATAATTAAATATTTTCAAATAGATTAATATAAATACTGTAACTTATATATGTTTACAGAAAAGTAAATAAACAAAACTTAATCAAGCGGAGTTGGATAGAAAAATTTACAAAGAATTGCCAAGTTAAAATTATTTACTTGAAGTATATAAGTGAGCATCAGAATTTAGCTAGAATTAGAATTAAAATTCAAATTATTTTTGATATTCAAAAAATTTTAGAAATTAAAAAAAAAATCTTTTCTAACAAGCAATTGTTTCCTCAACACAACGTTTTTTGAATCATTCAAATCAGATGCTTAGATCTATTAAAAACTGTCAATTTTTGCACATTTAGCTCCGCATCTCCAAAACGGCTGGACCTGCCTTTGCCAAAATCTAAACACCACTTCTCTCCATCATTATGAATGGAATGTTTTCTTTATCATTCAAATCGGATTCTCCGTTCTCTCGTAACTCCAAAACGGCTGGATCGACTTTTGTTAAAAACTAATCAACACATCTCTCTCTCAATAGGAATCGACCAATCAAATCGGTTGATCCGTATGCCCAAAAACATAGACGAAAAACTGCAGAAACACAAAACACACACACATCCATTTTTTCTGTGGTATGCCAAATGTTCAGAAACTTCTGGAACGTGAAGATGTGCAAAATTTTTTACTTTTGATTTTTGGCTTATTGTTATATTGTATCCTACGGAAAGTTAAGAACAGCTCACGGGCACTCTACAATAATAATATTAATTATAATTATTACATATATTAATGGGAGTTATATAAATGATCTGCACCAAGTTCAGAAACTTGCTCTAACTCCAGTCAGATGAACAGACATCAGAACTTTGATTTTTTTTCCGAACCTACAGTGATTAATAACTGGGATGCTAAATTAATGCAAATAAATGTATTTTAAATTTAAATTTATTCTGAAAGTATCTGAATATGATACATTAGAACATTTTCCTGTCAACAAATATCATTTGCATGCACGTGACAGAGTGCGCATTTAATAACATTTTTTCCTCCTTGCAAATATGTCATAGATATGTTTGCCTCGAGCTGTAATATCGCATATCACATATCACGTATTCCTCGGGCGTATCTATGCATGAGATTTCATGTTATTTGCAAACTCTGAGTTGTTCTATTTTAATATTTGACGTATTTTGTGCGTATATGCCTTTGTTGTGTTGATGCTGAAGATTGAGATCAAAACCAAGGAAATGTATTCAAGACAACTATGGGGGTAGCGGTGTTTCATATATGGTGTATTTAAAATGATATGTTACATACGATGTTTCTACTAGAGCAGAAAACAGCTGCTATAATGGTATATGCTTCTTTCTTAATATATATTAATAATATGAAAATTCTAAAACAAATTAGCATACTGCGCAAATAATTTTATTTGTGACGAAAGAAAAAAAAAAATTCAATGACTCGTTACAATTATTATTCCGAAGTTTCATACCTGACCTAGATATACAGGGTCCCATAACTTAACCTCAAGCCGAAACGGGGTGATAGTATTGACCTATACTGTCCTGAAAAAAGAACTAGTGGGGTGTATGGCATCGTGCCTTAAGGCAAATTGCTGGAACTTCCCGTACCGTATTTAAAAATCTTGGTACAGAACCCAAGTAAATTTACACAAAATGTGTACGCATAATTAAAATCTCTATAAAATATCTGATAATTTGATGTGCATATGTCTAATAAACATTTTTGACCGCCAAATTACACTTTTTACCTTATTTTTATTGAAAGTCCATAACCGCTGATCCTGCCTTCCCATAAAATGAATTAGTTCTTCTCTTGTCAATGCAAAAGTATTGACAAGAACAAGTAAAATGTATTTTGAATTATTAAAATCGGACGCTTCGTTCTTTTAAAAACTGAGTTACTGTTTTAGGCACTTTTTGCCCCGTATCTACGGAATGGCTAAACCTACCTTCACAAAAACTAGTTAGCTCGTCTTCTTATCAATACGAACCGAATGTTTTTTGAATTATTTAAATCGGTTGATCGGTGTTCCCAAAATCGTCGACGAAAATTTGTGTCCGCATACACACACACACGCACACACACTTACACACACACATGCATCCATTTTTTTAATGTATGCCAAAATTTTCAAAAACTTTGAAACGTAAAGATACACAAACATTTTCTTTGCGATTACTATAACTTTCCCTACGGGAAGTTAAAATAATTATCTCGCGCTTTTAGAAAATTATGAGCTTTTAAGTGCGACCTAGAGCTTTCGTGATACTATGACATTTTTCAGGTTACTGTGGTTAATTTTAACTAATTTTGTTCATTTAAACTCTGGAACCTGAACTGCGATAACATTTCTAGGACCACAATCAAAACATTAATACAACTGGCCCAAGTTTTCAAGAATTAAGACTTTTTGTTGAACTATGAAATTAAATTCTTTAAAATCACTCGACTTTGAGAGGCTCTCCTTTAAAAAAAATATACTAAAGTTTGCTGGCAAGTTTCATCAAAAGTTGGACTATTTAACCAGGATTGTAAAATGTTAAAATACTTGATAATTTTATTATTGAATAAAACGGTTTTACGCCGTTTTGCCTTGATGTCTAGGTCACCCTGTAAATCTAGTACTAATGTTCTAGTTCCAAAAATCGTACTTTGAATTTTGACAAAACACCCCAAATCAATAAAACATAGTTTACTAGCGATATTAATACCTAACTATACTAATTCTAGTTTTTTCACAACAATCATTATCTGAATGAAACAATTATTAAACAAAATTTTGTGGAATAAATATAACATCTGTTATGATGCATAAATATTATACCCACAAATGAAATATGAAATATTGAAAAGTGAAAATGGTAAAAATATTTATGTACCTTATACTCTTAAATACAAAAATTATTATTAGTAGTTTTTTTTACTAAACACAATGCCATTTGAATTAAAAACAGTTTGAGAAAAATATACAGGTGGTTCTGCGCAAAGACTTAGAACCTTTCTCTCCACCCATATTATTATTATTATTATTGACATGATCATTATTATTAAAAATTATCTTAAGGCAAATATTCTTTGTTAAAACTGTTTCTCGGCTTCAATCATTTCACAATGTTTTGTTTATTAATTTTATTAATTTGTGATAATAGTAAGAGATAGGTTAGAATATAACTGCCTGACTGAGATGTGAATAATAATATTATGTTAATAAAAAATTCTGGAACACTTTATTTTATAAGTAAATTATAAATAAATAATAGTTATTATTTATTTATAAAATAAAATGTTCTAGCATTTTTTATTAACATATTATTATTCAGTTACATCTCAGTCAGGCAGTTATACTCTAACTCTAACCTATCTGTTCCTATCATCACTTTATTTAGAAATTAAACAATACCAACTTACTGAAACATCAGATAATTTAAATTGAACCAGCAACAAAATTAATTGCAATTTTTATATCGTTTAGTTATATACCTTTCTAAGTATGTAATAAAAATATTTTGACAATGATTGATTTACATTTTTGTTTTAGAATAAATAAAATATCGTTTCAACTAGTATTCGCACTTTTCATTTTAAAAACAAAAACTAGTTACATAATTTTACTGAAGATAATATATTTTTACTAAAGATAATATATTTATATATATTTATATCTGTTTTATAAAATGGCGGATATATTTTCAAGACGTGATGCCTCAATGCTGCTTAGAGGCAAAAAGATTTATTTATTCGGCTCCTCAAATATGAGGGCTTTTTATAAAGACCTCATATGTTTGATAGAACGAGGAACTTTAATCAATAATACGACAATGAGAAGAAAGTTAGATCCAAGTTGTATGCGCGACAAGCTGGTGAAAAAAAGTACTTTGACTGCCGGCAGAGACTTTGTTGAAGAAAGGGAGTATAATCTTCAGAATATTTATGTGAAATATTGCTTTATCACTAAGTGTTGGTGTGATACACTAGATCATTTTCTGAATCAATGTAATAAGAAAATTATCCACCCTGATGTAATAATTATCAATTCGTGTTTATGGGACATAACCAGATGGGGACCCAATGGCGTCGATATTTATAAAGGTAATTTGGTGAAACTTTTTCAGAAATTTCGACAATGTTTACCAAAACAGTGCATTGTAATTTGGACATCAACTTTACCAGTTTCTACCAAAAGTCGACCAGCATTTCTAGTAGAACAAATAGAATTTTTAAAGCATTCTTTACAGTTTGACATTATGGAAGCTAATATTTTAGCTAAAAACGTAGCGACAACGAATGGATATGATGTTTTAGATTTATATCATTATTTTAAAACACAGTTTTTATTGAGAAACCCTGATGGAGTTCATTGGAAGCCTGTTGCAGTACGATTTGTCACGAATTTAGTGTTAACGCATCTTGCTTTGTCCTGGAACCATAAACTGCCTAGAAGAGTTTCAAATTTGGCTTTGCAACATTGTATTAACATGAATAATGTTATGATAAATCCACCTTCATCGGATATTAATTTAGAGTTGTCTAAGGATAAAGAAGAGAAAAAAGTCAAAGAACGGTTATCAAGGAACGAAAGAATACGTAGGAAACCTTATGATCGCAACCAGAGAAAACTATATGAAAATAATGAAAAACGAAATTGGCAACGGAAAACTACAACAAAAGAATTGGACGACTACAAATTTGATAATAATACAAATTCAACAACAAAATGTAAAACAACTTTTAAAAAATATTATCTGCGTAGTGGATATTGTATTAAAAATATTGTACGAGAAATTGTATTAAAAAATCAAGCTGAAGATGATAAACGTAGATCAAAGAATATGAACAAATTCACAAAATATTACCAATGAAAATCTATGATCCCTTAGGAAACAAAACTGTGAAGCTACACATTGGAAGAAATTAAATTATAAATTTATAAAATTTTATATATTATTTTATAGTGTTAAAATAATTTTTAGAATTGTTTATTTGTTTTTCGAAACTTATTTTTATATTTTCAATACCATCTCAATGTTTGTGTACTTGTATAGTTCGAGATAGTTTGGATTTTAGATATTAGTTTAGAATCATAGAATCATTATTTTTATATTATTAACATATTTTAACGCGTACACTAATAATATCAATAAATTCTACACAAAATAATGGTGCTTTTTATTGGATTGTTCGAATATAATTATTGTTTCTAGATAGTTCTGAATAATTAAATTTGGAAACTTTATCTTGCGTTTAGATATTTTTGTATCAACACTTTTATTCAAACCAATTGTGGCACTCAATCAATTTATAATACCTATTTTTATTCTATAGTAGAAAAGTAAAATATTATCAGAACTCTGTTTCTATGATTTTTAAATGCACGAAACCCAAAAACTGCTGTATTAAATATAATAGCTTTCAAAACGAATAAAAATAATTGGGTTAAGTTTAAGGTGACCATATTTTTTTGCATGAAATCCGGGACGGATTAGAATGTGTTTGAGAGCAGGAGGGGGTGGGGGTGTTGATAAGCTGAAAACTTATATGCACTTTTTTCGGTTCAAATTTTCTATTTGAAATATATTTAAAAATATATTGGCAATCAAAACATTTTTTAAAAACCGGGACAAAACACCTAAAACCGGGACAAATATTGCTTTTACAAAAGACGAAAGGCGGAAAATCGGGACTGTTCCGGCCAATCCTGGACAAAAAAAAAATCTGCTTGATAAAGGGAATTATTTGTAAACAATTTATTATAGACGCATACATAAAAATGTATAAAGATAATATTAATATTTTATTTTCCCAATAATTCAATTCCGTTTATTGTCTCAGTCGGCAAATGACATGGCATGAAGAGTTATAAACCGAATTTTTATCATGTTCGTCGCCCATTTCCTCCGATTTATTGAACATGTAGTATCAGTGCAAACAAGAAGTACTCGTACTCAAATACTGTGCTGAGAATACCGAACTTCGGAATATTTAAAGATAACATGAAGAATGCTCTTAAGTCACAAGTGGAGCACTTTATAGATTTTTGATTCTGAATATATTACACCCTTCAACCAAGAGGGAATTCAACAGACATGAAAAAGCGTTGCAGGAATTCGTTGCACTTGAACCAGGAAACGACAGAAATTATAAGATTTTATTGAAAAATATATGTCGCACACCAGCACTGACAATTTTTTGAGGACTTCTATAATAAGTGATTCAATCAAATGTAACATTAATTGATTTTGTCTTCACTTCTTTACTCAAGTTTTAGACTTTCTTGAATCTGTTGCGCACATTTTATTTCAAATACCTGATTTGTTATTCAACCCAAGTTCATAAAACTTTTGCTAGGGATTTCAGCAAAGGCACTAGTTCAGGGCGAAGATCAGCTCTGAATTATTTAAATCTTTTTTGAGGTCAGCATATATAACCCTATATTAAAATTTTATGGTTACTCATAACTGATAACTGAATAAGTAACGAGTACAGAAAATTGGTTATCCTTTCCGCGCGAAAATCTGAACACGAACGTATGAGAAAGGAAGACCAATTTGTTTCATGTTGTGAAATAATAATATTGGAAGGCTAGATTGTGCTGATCATGGTTAAATATATAAGAAAAATATTATCAGGCGTATAGGTGGTAAAAATTCTTTTAGACCGCATAATATTTTAATTAAAAATTAATCCAACTGGATAAATTTAAAAGAAAGCGATTCCAGCAAGCGACTTTCTTATAGTCTAAGAGCCAGTAAACTATTTGACTAACCTGTTTTCTCAGAGCTATAAGTTTTTTTTAATGATATTTTATTATCGACTCATTAAGAAAGTACCATTTTGGCAGTCATTTCGCGATTGCGTCATCATCCCTTCAATTTGTTATAACGTCAAAAAAAATTTATCATAACTTGATCCCACAAGGCTCAAATTTTGAGGGTGTATTCTTTTAACTGCTCAGAAAGCATATGTAAAAAGCCAGCCCATTCTGACGGTTGCATGGGTCTGCAAGTCGAGTACATAATAGTCACGACGCGCAAGGGTGTGGGCGCATTGCCATACATAATCGGCTAACCAATAATTTATACGCCATTTTGAAGGTCAATTTGAAAACATCCGATATACCAAACTTAAACTTTGTATCTCACCTTATGGCCGAGATATCATTGAAAATATGCCAAAGTGGCCCCTTTTTCAAAAATTTTTCAATGTGTTCCACAAATTTGATTTGAATAATATTTGAGCATAACTGGCATTAGAGAAGGTGTTTTAGAAGAAACATTCAATGTTTGTTTTAGTTTTTGATTCTGACATTAATAGGCTATTATTCATTAAACCATATTATTATGCATTAATTAACAAATAGTAGGCTAATCATTTCTTTTTATTACTTGTTAATTTAGACTTCTAAATGAGTAAATAATAATAAATTCATTTGATATTTGATACCGGAAAAGAAATATTGCAATATATGATATAATGAAGAATTGGACTTGATCGATACCCATGAAGGCAGAATATCAGCACGATATATATTTATTTATTTATAAATTTGTTTGTGTAGTATTGTGTTTATTTATGGAGTTTATAGAAACAATTTAAAACTAACAATTTTTCGTCACACCGTTCTGAAGATCTGAATGCATTTTTGGCTGGATAATTTTTACACTGATGAAGACACAAATCACGGTTTCGAAACGTTTATAATTTAGTTATTTATGAAATATTAATTAATATTCGATCCACTCTTAATAACACAAACATCTATTTATAATCTATATATACACATGCATGTATATATACCATATACATGTTTCAATTTATTATTTTTCTATATTGAAAATAAAAATTCAGCTACGGTTGATTTTTTAAAATAAACCTTCCATTGCAGAAATAAAAACATTCAACATTTGAAATATTTAAAATAGCCACTATGTTTTTTCATAAAACTATATTCTGCTTTCAGCATTATCTGTATTATATTTATTCAAGAATCCTTGCTTTAGAAACCGTCCTTTTGATAATAATACTTCAAGAGTTACGTATGCAGAATATGAAAAAAATATCTGTCGCATAGGAAGTCTTTTATGATATGACACGACAATTTGCAAAACTTTGCCTTCTCTTCGCTCAGGCCGCGGAAACTTAGCTCGGATCTCGGAATATTTACTAGAAGAAGGTCGATCTTGCTTACTTTGCTGAAATATTTAATATTTTCTGGATATTTCGCATTTCATGACGCAGCTTCCTTGAGTTTGACAGCTGTTAAAAATTTACTTAAACTTTTTATATAAAAATACATTGAAAATTTGCATGTGTTACGTATGATGTATAGCTGCATATGCATAATATAAGTGTAGATTGATATCGGGTCATGCGATATAAATGAATTATTATCTGTAATATTACTTCTTATTTAGTTTTTTTTTTAATTCATCTGTCCTCGTCACCGACTGTTTATTTAATCGTTTATCATAGACTGTCATAAAATATTAAAAACTAGATGTAAGTAATTTTACCTTAAGCAAACTGCATGAACCTCACGTGCGAATAATTGACTTCTTTAAATATTAATTAAGATTTAGCTACTAAATTAAAATTTTCAACTGTTTATTTCGAAAATGGCTTTTAATATTTTTCAAATCGGTGTATCCATTTCTGAGAAAACGTGGAAGAAAAGTAAAAAATTGGATAACATACAAACAAACATATGCTTTTTTCTCAAACGATTCAGAACGACTTTAAACGACGAGTATATGAGTAAGACGAATTTTGTGGTAAAAACACACACCACACACACACACACACACACATATATATATATATATATATATCTATTATATAAAAATAAGTCGGGTTTTCCTTCCTGACGATATAACTCCAGAACGTACGAACCGATTTCGATGATTTTGCATTCGTTGGAAAGGTCTCGGACTCCGTGAAGTTTATAGCAAAGAGAATTGAAAAAGATTTCAACAGAAAATCGGAAAACACATACAGCGTCATCTCTGATACTTAGCATGTACTGGAAACTAATATTTTTTGTTTGACCGCTACTCATTTGTTTGATAGCTACTCATTGTTCTCCGCTCAGTTAATTTCATGTGATAAACCGGCATTGTGTTCACTGTGAAATTGCGCAAAAAAAGAAAAAAATAGGCAATTTTTTTCTTCATCTTGTAATCACCAAATAAAATGTTACATAAAATGAAACCATACATAAGATGAAACTGAGTTCGCCCGGTTTGCTAGTATACATATATGAATTAATTAAAATTCTTATTTATATAGGTACCTTGTTTTAGTGAAATTATCGTTTTTTCAGTAATTTATTCTGGCATTTATATTAATTTTTTTATAAAGGTTATATAAAAAAATTAAACATTTCTGAAATACAACAATTTGCTAATGATGAGCTCATATAAAATAGTTATTTTGAATCTGTCTTTTCAATAAACAAATTGATTCGAATTAAATATTTTGTATGCAGACTATTGTTACAAATTGTATTGATAAATTTACTTTTTTTAAATAATGAGATTGAGAGCCTATACAATTATTATAAATTTTGAAGTTAAAATTGTTATTTTAATTGATGTTAATTTTATATTTCGCATTTATTTAAACTTAATAATCCAGAGTATCACAATGTAATATCATTTTCAATTTGTACCATTAGTTCATACAGCTATATAAATTTTATGGTTAGCTCATATAGGTAGAGATATAATATACATATGTGTATGAGTGAATATGTAAATTATCTGTATCATAGAAGTGCACTTTATTCTAATGAAATTGTCACTAATTAGTCATTGATGCTTTCTCGAAAAGCAAACATTCCGAAATCCCTTTTATCTGCCTAACCCATGTTGTGCAAATAATTGAGCAACTGTAATGCAAAGGCAATTATACTCCAATATT